AGGTGAGGCCCCTTCTAAGACGCTTGTTGAAACCGCCAAGGAAGCCACAGAAAAGGCCAAGGAGACGGCACTGGCAGCTACCGAGAAGGCCAAGGACCTCGCCAGCAAGGCAGCCACCAAGAAGCAGCAGCAGCAGCAGCAGTTCGTGTAGCCAACCAGCCCAGCCCTGTCCCCACCCTTGACCAGATGATCTGGCTCCATCCCCCTGACCTGCCTGCAGTATGCTTTCTTAATTAAAAATCAACTTCCAGCCCCTAAAAAAAAATAAAATAAAATAAAACCAAGGTGATCCAACTGAATTTAGAAACTATCAAATAATCTCAGCCATAAGTAGATTTTTTCTGGAGATAATTTAAAAATGGTTGCAACCGTACATCTATGGGAAATTGCCAGAAATTCAAGCCATATTCAGAAAAGGATGTAGAATGAGGGATATTATTGTTGATATCAGGTGAATCTTGATTGAAAACAGAAAAGACCAGAAACATGTTTACCTATGACTTATCGACTATTCAAAGTCCTTCTATTGTGTGGATCATAACACGTTTTATATAACATTGTAAAGAATAGGAATTCCTTCAATTTTGCATAAACTAAGGCAGTCATTCAAACAGAGCAAGGGGCTACTGCGTGGCTTAAACTCAGGAAAGCTGTGTGTCAGGCTTGTATCCCCTCACCACCCTTATTCAGTCTGTGTGCTGGCTGAGCAAAGACTCCGCGAAGCTGGGCTGTGTGAAGAAGAACACAGCATCAGGTTGGAGAAAGACTCATTCGCAAACTGCAATAGGCAAATGATGTAACCTTGTTTGCTTAAAATGCAAGAACATGGTCAATGCTCATGGAAGTAGCAGTAAGAAATCCAATGGCATATTGCAGTGGACAAACATGCTGCGCACGACCTCTTTAAAGTGTTAAAGCAGAGGTGTCCCTGTGAGGACGAAGGTGGGCCTGACACAGACACCTTGGTTCATATGCATGTGAAATGAATATGGCAGTGAATATGGAAGATCAAAGATGCCCTTGAATTATGGTGTGGGTGAAGAATATTATGTATACCATGGATTGCCCACAAAAGTGAACAAATAATTTTCGGAAGAAGTACAGTCAGAATGCTACTTGGAAGCAAGGATGGCAAGACTTCCTCTCACATGTTTGGGGCATATTACACGGAGGGACCAGTTCCTGGAGAACTTTTTACCCATCACGCTGGGTGAAAGGGGTCAGACCCTCAGTGAGCTGAGCTGACACAGTGGCTGCAACAATGTGAGGGCGGTGCAAGACCGTGTGGTGTTTCACTCTGCCATACAGAGCGTAGCTGTGCATTGGAACCGCCTAACATCAACAATCCCCCTTGGACTTTACCTATTTGGAGGTGGATTTGTGGGATGCAATCTGGAATCCTGACTGACGTTTATTGCTGTTAGTTGCTGTCGAGATGGCTCTGATAATTGTGTCGTGCTTGATATCGGCACGTTTGAATCCAAAAGAGATCTTCCTCTTGGGGGCTGCAGGATAACATCTCTTCAGCTGCTTTCAGCGATTACAAGTAACACCAACAAAGTAGCCATCTAAGACAGATGAAATTTCACTTCCTTCGTTGAGGCTTCCTTCGTTTTTGCTGACCCTCTACGGGCCTGGCTGTCCTTGTCTGTGGCTGGTCTGTTCTGACGGTGTGCCTAAAGTCTCATCGTTCTCACTTAGAGGAGCATGCTGATTGCACTTCTTCTGGTTGATTTTTCTTCTTTTTTCCTACAAAACTAATTCCCTTTATAAGGATCGGTGCAAGGTTACTTCCAACGAGGTGGTGGTTACAGATGTCCCAGATGTTCAAGTTTTCCAAAACACGATACCACTCCATCATCTCTGATGTCAACCATCACTGCTCTATCCACCTCCTCCCTCATGTTTCCGGATTCTACAAGTCAGGAATGTTCACAGAACTCACGAATTATCAAGGAAATCGTTCATAGAGAGGCTGGGCTGTGGAAGCTGGTAAATCTCAAATCCAAAGTCGAGAAGTCTGCCAGGAAGAGTGTAGCAGTGACCTAATCTCCTGTCACCTTGTGCGGAGCTACATGGAGCCCCACGCCAGTGCTGAGACCCTTCTACCACCACTGGATCCACACGACTTTCCATCCACTGGCCTGTGATCTTCCTGCATTTGGCATCATTGCATGTGTTGTATGAGTCTGAAGAGGAATTTATAGACTGGTATCGGACACATGGGCTAATATTAGGCTTATGGACTTGATTTGGACTGGACCAGGATGTTTTCTCAATATACAGTTACTCTTTGATATAAAGTTCTCTCTTACACATATAAGAGTGTCTCGGGATTTGTTTCCCTATTCACCCAGACCAACAGAAAGATTCTAATCATTCATACCAAATCAGTTGTTGACTCCAAAGACTTCAGAAGCTAGTGAATCAGGTGGTAGGCTGTTGGCTTAAGACCCAAGAACCAGAACTCAAATGGAGGTACTAAGCCAGACACAGGATTCAGAGCAAGAGAGCAAAGTTTGCCAAAGTTCCTCAGTGCAGCTTCAGAGATACAAAAGGTCTGGTATAGTAGTCCACAATACCAGACTTGCTATCAATCATCTTGCTTAATTATCTTAACCTTTGCCCCAGGCCACTTCAAAAGCAAATAGCATCTCTTAAACCGCTTTCAGCAATTACAAGTAACAAGGACCAAAGTTTTTAGCCATCTAAGAATACTAAGGATATCCCTTACAAAGACCCATGTCTCCAGGAGTACGGGGCCATTGCAATGAATTCCACTCTGCCACCAACTGGAAGAATGGTGTAGGGGCAGCATCTGGCCTCCTCTGAGTTCCCAAGGGGGAAGGAGAATTAAGCTCCCTATCAGTTCGTGGCTGACTCATTCCTATGAGGCAGAGGTCAGACCTGCCCACCTTCCTTCCTAGCTCGGACTCAACCAACACCACTTTCTTTTTCACTATTGGGTTTGATAAGCCATTACAATGGCCACACTGAACTCACAGATAGACAATATTCATGGTTATGGAGTTGATTAGGGAAGTTAAGAGAGTCCAATTCAGGCTCAGACATACTCAAGATACAGCACCTCCTCTCAGCTTTGCACAAAAGCACACTCAGCCCCTGCTCTCTGCCCTGCTCCGGCAACAGTATGAAGCTCCTTTAGATCTGCGAATAAACTTGTAAGAGGCACTCCCCTCCACCACAAGCTTTAGCCTGACGGCACTCAGCGATAGTTCCAGGGGTCAGCAAACCTAGCTCCTTCAATGAAGCACCCGAAGCCAACCTACTCGGTAAGCAAGCCTTGCCCAAAGGCACTCTGCCTTCTTCCCCCCTCTGTCCTGTGTTCTCGCTCTTGGTTCTGTGCTGCTGCTCCTCTGCCATTGCTCTGGTGTCACAGCTACCTGTCTCCCGGATCGAGAGGCTCAGTGCGCGGGGATATCAGGGTCCAAAGGACACACGCCCCTCCGGGTTATTCTTTCTTGGTGGCCACAAGATGCTCTTCTTGCTTCTGAGATGGCTCGTCTTAGGCCAGTGGGATGGTAAAACTGACCAGTCCCTTCATTTTCTCTCCATAGACCTTATTTGCATGGTCCCACCTAGTCAATCAGTGGGGATTACAGAGAACCATATCAAATAATTCACTACACCATAGCAACGATTGATCACCTTAAAGTTCATAATCAATATTGTTTTTTCTTAGTCATCTATATACCCATCATTAACAATTCCAAACTCTGTTGGTTATATTTCTAGAAATCGGTTTCTTTTTTCCTTTTAAATCCCTTTGTCCTATAGACCGATTGTTCTTTATGCTTATTCGATTGCTATTATCCTGATAATTCTTTCTCCTATTTTCTTTGGCACAAATCCTATTCTTTCTCCTTGGCCTCTTCTCTCATTTTATTAAAGAATATACTAGAGTAGTTTCCCAAAAGAAGATACATGTGAGTCAGAATTGATTCCATGGCAGTGAATTAGAGTCAATTAGATTCTTGATTTTATTTTCATACTTGTGCGTAGTTTAAATGAGAATTAAATTCTAATAAACATATGCCACCTTTGCATCCTCATCCTCCATTTGTTCCCAAAAGTTAACAATGCCAACAAGTACCATGTTGACATTATCAGTCACATAATACATGTCCTTAACTATCATTACTTTAAATTTGGATAAAGGGGAAAAATAGAATTATATATACAAAAAGTAGCGGTTTCAAACATGCTCTATTGATGGCTCCTCCTCCTTGATGGTCCTGGGAATTCTCTCTCTCTCTCTCTGATTTCCAGATGACTCTCTCATATACAGAGGGATGGCTTTGATGGAAATGTGATTATTGTCTCTCAGTAGGCCTTTCCCCCAAGGAAACAACGGATGGTGATTTGGTTCATACCATCTAGTAAGGTGGAGACTCAGGATACATCCACCTTAATTCTATTTATTATCATAGCAGAGAATTCCCTCCAAAGTGGGATTATACCCACAGGAATCGAGGCTAGACTTTACAATATGTGACCGAAGGAAGTACAGCTAGAAAGCCAGCCATATTAATGGACTATACGTCCAGTACTATTAAATCCCCAATCCCTTCTTTGTGTGCTGTGTATCCGCAATGCTTCATTAAGTAAAGAAAAAATGGCAGACAACCTAATGCTCTCACATTTATTTGTCCGCAAGTCTTTCAGAACATCCATTCTTTTTTTTTTAAATCATTTTATTGGGGACTCATACTACTCTTATCACAATCCACACATACATCCATTGTCAGAACACCCATTCTTATAAGATGACAAAAGGGTGAATTTATTTATCTTCTAAAAAATGCATATATGAAAAGACTAAATGATTTTAAGTTAATTTCATGTTTCTTTTTTTCTTAATCAATATACTGGGGGCTCTTACAGCTCATCACAATCCATCCATCCATCCATCCATCCATCCATCCATCCATCCATCCATTGTGTCAAGCACATTTGTGCATATGTTGCCAACATCATTTTCAAAACATTCTCTTCCGACTTGACCCCTTGGTATCAGCCCCTCATTTTTCCCCTTCCTCCCTCGTGAACTCTTGATAATTTGTATATATACATTTTTCATGTCTTACACTGACCGCTGTCTTACTTTACGCACTTTTCTGTTGTCCATTCCCCTGCAGGGAGGCGGGGACTTATACGTTGATCATTATGATCGGTTCCCCCTTTCTCCACCCACCTTCCCCTTCCCCTCCTGGTATAGTTACTCTCATT